GTCATGGAGAATGGGTCCATACCTCTGGGGGTCGACGTGAGGAAAGAGTCATGACGGCGGGGGTCTGGGAATGCACATGAGGGTCAGTCAGAGCACTGGATCTTGCAGGGTCCTGCAGAGCCAGGGGTGTATTGACCCGGGCTTGCGTGCAGGATCCTGCATCCTGCAGGATCTTGCAGGATCCTGCAAGAAGGCCTGACTGACCCGGATGTGGATTGACCCGGACCAGTAGATCCCCGACCAGACAAGCTTGACCACCGCGGATCTGAATCGCGGCATGACTCCTGCGCCCGTGCTGCCCTCGCTGGCCGTCGGCCTGCTCGCCCGGGCGGACCACGCCCGTCCTGCCCGAGGCCTTGGCGCGCCGGAGCTCGGGGCCGAGGGCACCCACGAAGGGCAACTGGTCGACCGACAGCACCGGCCGCCCACGGGAGCACGGCCCGTACCCTGCACGCCACGGCTCCACCATAACCCGCGGAGGCGCCCGAGAGCGCAGGGGCCTTTGAGCCTCTAGGCGAGCTCGTGAGCCGGGGGGGCCCCCCCGCCGTGGCCGGACGGAAAAGGAGGAGGGAGGAGGAGAGGGAGGAGGAGGAGGAGGAGGAGGAAGAGGAGGAGAGGAGAGGAGGAAGGAGAGGAGGATGAGATGGAGGAAGGAGAGGGAAGGAGAGGAGGAGGAGGAGGAGGAGGAGGAGGCGGAGGAGGAGGAGGAGGAGGAGAGAGGAGGAGGAGGATGAGGCGGGCGGAGGAGGGGAGGAGGAAGGAGGAGGAGGAGGAGGCGGGAGGAGGAGAGGAGGAGGAGGAGGAGGAGAGGAGGAGGAGGAGGAGGAGGAGGAGGAGGAGCGGGGCCCCCTGGCCTCAGCCGGGGGGTGCCCGCCGAGCTGCGCTCGAGCCCTGCAGCCGCAGCGGGGCAGGGAGCGGCCCGCGGAGCGCCGCGGCGCGCCGAGGCCCCCAGCGCGTGTCGCCGAAGGGCTCCCCCGAGCCGGGCGGGGCCTTCCGAGCCGGGCGGGGGCTCCGCAGAGCCCCGACCGTCCCCTGGGGCCTCCGAGCGCCCCGAGGCGAGCAGCAGGTCGGGCCGGGCCTTCTGCAGGAGGAATCTAATCAGGAGGGGAAAATCACACAGACACAACTCATCGTCGATTCCCCAGAAGCTATGTGAAAATACGGGAAGTGGGGGGGAGGACAAACAACCCAACAAATATGGAAAAAAATGGGGAACAATTTGATTTGTGTGTATTTATTTGTGTGTCCTGGGGCCCTTTCACGTATATATTCAAGAGCGGTGGAAACATGGTCGTGTGGCGCTTTTCCTCGGCCAGCCTCCGATTTTTTTTGTTTTTTGTTATCTTGTTGAGAACACTTCTTCCCAAGTCCGCTTGTGGGAGGATGCGCCCGACCTAAGACGAGCACCGCGACTTCTTCGCGCTCGCCCCGGACGGGCAGCTGCGCTCCCCTGCCGCGGCGGCGGGCGGGCCGCGGGGAGTCGTCCGCCCCCCCCGCGCGCCGGCGCTCTTTCCGGGGGTGGACAGAGCCCCCATGCCGACACGTCGATTAGTCACTTGTTCGTTTTCGGTGCTCGGGAGGGCGCCGCGGTCGTCGTTTTCCAGGCTTGCGCCCGCCAGGTTTGGGCCCGAGGTCGTTTTCACGAAATCACGTTTTGCTAAAGGGGGTTCTGTCCATCTCCGATCTTTCCTCTCCCCCAAACCCCGAAGGCCACAGAAGCATCCCGTGAGCTTGCGGTGGCCACCCCGGGTCTGGGCCGATGGCGGCTTCGGGCCTCAAGCCGTCGAGAACCAAAGATCAGGGTAGGAAAAGGTACCCATACCGCTACCCTTCCCTCGTTTTCCCCTTTTTTGGGCTTCCTGCGAGGCCCTCGTTGCCACCGCTGGATTCGCTTCGAAATTCTGGTCGGAACGCACCCCAGGAGAGGTCCAGGAAGTACCGGTATCAATCCTTCTTAATTTCCCCCCAAAGAGCCCCTAACCCTGATAGCACGATGAAGGCGTGGCCTCACCGAGGTCCCCGCGCTTGCGTTCGGGATCATAGGTCTGGACGGTTTGGTTCGATGCAGCTGCAGAAAAGATCCCCCCATCCCTCATGTTTTTGGCCCTTCTAATTTGGATCCCCTCCCGAAGGGTGGGGGGTCCTTGTTTGGTTGCTCCTCAAGTGTGCCCATGGCTCGGGACCGCCGTGGAGGGCGGAGGGAGCGCGCGGAAGTGCACGGCGCCCTTTCCCAATGGTCGCACGTCGGCCCAGGGCTCCCCATGGCCATCCTGCTTCCCCCAGGCCCCTCCAAATTTACCCTATGCTGATGTCGCCCCGCTCTACGATCCAGACCTCGCCCGAACTTCCCCCTGCCCGTCCAAACTCCCCCAGCGACCGCCCTGCTTCCATATGCCCCCTCTGCCAACGCTGAAGCCTCTTCATGGTCATCAGACCTCCTCCAAGCACGAGACACGTCCTTCGAATGCGCTTCTCCTTAGTTGTCGGTGGACCTGATCAAGCTATCAGAGAGCCTGCGGCGATGTCTCTCGAAGGTACGCCCAGGTGCCGTAACAGGTATCACCCCTTGCCCTTAGCCTTGCGAGAGCCGTGGCATGGTACACTCTCTTCTAGGCGTCGACGGGGCGTTGCGTTTGTCGTATTCCTGAGCTCCTCTTCCTCCCCTCTTGGGGTCTCACAGGGGCGTCTTCGAAGCCTCTTTGAGGCGCCTTGCGGGGCGCCTTGGGGGCATCTCGGGACTTCTTGGGGAGTCCTTGGGGCGCCTCAGGGCGCCCCCTGGTCAGTTTGGCGCCTTGGGAGTTCGCCCACCTTGGGGGCCTCTCGGCTCGGAGCCGTCTGCAGGTCCTCTCGGGGCGCGGAGGGGTCGTCTTGGCTGTACCCTGGGCCGTCCTGGGCCGTCTTTGGGGCCCCTTCGGCCGCACAGTCAGCCCGCATAGTGGGGATGGGCAGCATTCCCAAGGGTACCCTTGCATCCTTGCCTCCTCGGTCCATCCTGGGCCGCTTTCGTTGGCCGCGCCCCGCTCGAAAAGCTTCGGAATGGGCGTCCAGGGCCCTTGCATCCTCACCGCGCATCCTTACTATACGGTTTGACCGTATCTAGGAGACCTCGGTCGTCTCGGGCTGGCGGTTGCCCGAGGAGGCGAGAGCGCAAACGTAGTTATGCTTTCGGGCCCCACTGGTGATCGTTCTCTCGTTCGTTATTCTGCCGATCCGCGCGGGCCCTCGCACCTCCCTCCCCCCCCATGGAGTAGATCTGGGCTGTTTTTGGCGCCTGTTTCCAGCAGATGGAGTCTCCCACATTGGGCGCCATGTCGCAAAATACAGTGGCGCTGAACAGGCAGAGGTCTGGAGCCAGACCTCCCCCCTCCCCCCCCCTTCCGCCCAAAGTCGAAACGCCGAATAAGAAAGCGCTCACCTGGAGCTCCTCTTTGAGCCCTCTGGGGCCGCAGTGGGGCCGCAGTGGGGCCGCCTGGGCAGGTGTGCTGGGCGCCCCGAGGCCTCTTGGAGAGCGCCCTGGCAAGCACCGGGGGCGCCCAGGCAGCCTCGGGAACGGGGGCGCCGGTTGGGCGACGCGCGCGAGGAAGTGCTGGGCGAGGGGTGGGGGGGCGACGCGAGGAGGTGCTGGGCGAGGGGTGGGTGGGCGACGCGAGGAGACTTGCAGTCGGCCCGCGAGGGAAGGGCGGGCAGCCTTCCCAATGGGTTACCTTTGCATGCCTGCCCCCTCGGCGCATCCTTGGCCGCTTTCGCTGGCCGTGCCCCGCTGGAAAAGCTTCCAAATGGGCGTCCAGGGCCCTTGCACCCGTATCGCGCATTCTGAGGAAGTGCTGGGAGAGGGGTGGGGGGCGCCTGAGAAGACTTACAGTGGAGACCCATGCCAAGAGACACCCTGCATGCCTCCAGGGTGCCTTGGGTTTCCTGGGTTTGACGGTTTTGCGATGGAGAGCGTGACGTTCCCACACCAAAAATTAGTGGACGTCCTGGGGTCTCAGGGTTGGGTTTCTTGTGGCAGGTTTCTTGTGGTCGAGCTCCTACTGTATAGAAGCCCTGCCAGACAGCACTCGGCATACTGCCGCGCCGCGCACCGCGCCAGAGGTGCTGCCTGACGATTCTTTTCTGCACCTCCCCGCACCTCATCTGCCCCCTCAGAATTCCCCGCCCCTCCTCCTCCGACACTATATGAGGCTGCCGTGCACCGAGTTAGTTTTTTTGCGTGGCGCTCCCTTGGGAAGACCTCTGGGCGATTGCGCTCCCTCACGCCTGCCGCTCTGAGCCAACTGGCCTCGGATGACAACAACGACGCTCCTACCCTCCTACCCCACCCTTAGGGGAACAAGAAGTGGCATAAACATAAAAACTCGGAGATCCGCGCGGATTTCTCGGATCGGCGCTGGAGTCCTCCCTGGCGCGCGGAGCGCGCCAGGGGCGGCGCCGGAGGCGCCGCCGGG